GGCTGCAACCAAAAAATAGCCAGGCGTTGTGGCGGGCGCCTATGGTCCCAGCTACTCGGGAGGCTGAGGCAGGAGACTCGCTTGAGCCCAGGAGTTGATGCCACGGCACTCTACCCAGGGGACAGCTGGAGGCTCTGCCTCAAAAAAAAAAAAAAAAAAAAAGAAGCAGATAGTACTGAATAACAAGCAGCAGTCATTGGTACACATTTGGTGAGTAGGCATTTCCTTCTCCTGTGCTGCTGAAATGGTGGAAGTTAGCTGAACTCAGTATGAAATGTAAGTACATCAAGGCAAATGAGAGCCCCAAAGTTCAAAGTGGTACACCCAGATGCTGACCTGGAACAAAGATTTCAAGGAGGAGTTCCAAATGCTAGCGTGATAATGCAGGTTCCAGAGAGGATTGTTTTGCAGGAAATAATGAAGACATGGCATTTTCAAGACTAGCAGAGCTTGCCCATTTTTAGTCTGCTCCCTTCAAACCTCTGGCACTGAAAACAGCACTTCGTGTACTTAGGCTTAGTGAATGACCACTGGAGTTTCTGGATTTAGAAAGACTTCCTGTAAACCCTCAAAGAAATCCATGCAGTTGGCAGGCTGAAAAAGAACATTCTATGAATAAAAATGCTGTTTGCCAAAACAGACACTTGGTTAGTAATGATTCTTTACCTGTATTGTGTGTGAGTCTGCTGCTACCACTTCTAATCACCATCATGACAACATTGGGTATAGGTAGAAATAGACAACTTCTAGAAGAGGAAAACAAAGAATGTGCTAAAAGGAGAAATGGTCATGTATTCAATTACTGAAGCATTTTGGCTGCTGAAAATAGCTGACTGGTTTTGCTGCTAGAGGAGACTTCACCTCTTTTTTATTTATTTTTTTTTTTGAGACAGGAGCCTCAAGCTGTCCTCCTGGGTAGAGTGCTGTGACATCACAGCTCACAGCAACTGCCAACTCCTGGGCTCAAGTGAGTCTCCTGCCTTAGCCTCCCGAGTAGCTGGGACCACAGGCGCCTGCCACAACGCCCGGCTATTTTTTGGTTGCAGCCATCATTGTTGTTGGGTGGGCCGGGGCTGGATTCGAACCTGCCACCTTGGGTTAATGTGGCTGGCGCCTTAGTCACTTGAGCCACAGGTGCCGAGCCAAGACTTCACCCCTTAATAGTATTGTCCCAGTGTACAGCATGCCTATTGTCTATCTGTTAGGGAGGCTGAGTCAGGGGGATCACTTGAGCCAGGAGTTGGAGTCCAGCTAGGGAAACATAGCATAATCTTGTCTCTGATACATAATCTAAGCAGTTGGAAGTGTAAGATACTTACAAACTAAAAAAAAGATAGGACTTGAAGGCTTCCTGTGTGTACATATGTATGTAATCCTTGACTGACTGCCTACCTATGTGGATAACTTAGGGCAAAGCCTAAAGCTTGTCAGTGATTAGATTTCTTCTGATGCAAAGCTAAGGTTAGAAAATATATAAAAGTACTATTTGTAGGTATATAGCCCTATATTGTGGTTTTATCCTCTCATGGATGGTGTTGCTCTTCTGTTCCAGATCTTGAGGTGGTTTTTTTAGTTCCCTGCTGTGTATCAACTGAGAATTATAATCTATATGAAATCCTCTAATGTTACTACCAGAAACTGTCCCTAATTCAGAGCATCATATGTTTCAAAAGTTTAGTGGTTAAAAAAAAAAAAAATAGACCAGAGTCACTCTAGTTGAGTAACTAAGTTCTTGGATTGTGATTATAGAAAAGAAATATGCTTATAGCTCTTACAAGGTTACAGACCAATTATGATTTGTTATGTCCAGTTACTGCTTTTATGATAAACTGTAAGTCTCCATCTGTTGTCTTTATGCTATGTAATTAGGGGCTATTTCCTTTGCCATTAGTCCTTATTCAAGAAATATAAGATAGTTTAGTATTATATAAAAAATGCTGAAATATGCTTATAAATTAAAAAAATTTAAAGTAATAGATACTCATTGAAAAAAATTAAAACCATAGAAAGCCATAAAGTAATACTTCTTTCCTCAAGTAATCATGTTACTTTTTCTATTTTGGGGTCATATTTAGGACCTCTTGTGCAGTTTGCTTTTTCTATACTTTGTAACACTTGCCTATCTTTTCATCTAGTGTATGTAAGTGGAATTCTTCTCAGTACCTTTGAAGTGTTTCTATTTCATGATGCTTGATGGTTTGTTTAATTTGTCCCTTATTTGTGGACTTTTAGGTTGTTTCCAGAGTGACAATATTATACACAGTGCCACGAGAACATCATTGAAACAGTATTATCACATACTTGTGCTAGTATAACTGTCAGATACATCCTTAAAAGTAAAAATTTCTTGGTCAAAGGGTTTTTGCATATAAAATCTAGATACTACAAAATTTCCCTTCAAAAATATCACTCCAGGCTTGGCGCTTGTAGCAAAGTGGTTGCAGCACCAGCCATCAGCTAAGTAACAATGACAACTGCAACAGAAAAATAGCAGGACGTTGTGGTGGGTGCCTATAGTCCTAGTACTTGGGAGGCTGAGGCAGGAGAATCACTTAAGCCCAAGAGTTGAGGTTGCTGTGAGCTGTGACTCCATGGCACTCTACCTAGGGTGACATAGTGAGACTTGGTCTCAAAAAAAAAAAAAAAAATCACTCCAGTTTATATTCCTGTTTCCCCTACTCTTGGCAATATGTCTTACCACACTTTTTTTTAAACTATGCTAATTTGATGGGTGAAAAAGTATAGCATATAACAACTTTATTCTCATAAATTATAAGTGAGGTGGGGAACATGTTTTCATATTTATTGACCATGTATTTTTTTTTTCCTTAAAAGCTCTGCTCATATCCTTGCTCATTTTTATTTGCTATCCTAAAGAGCTTTTTCTATTTTAAGGGAATTAATCCTTGACTGTAATGCACTGTCAATATTTTCTAACTAGCTATTTGTCTTTACTTGTGTGTACATACCTTGCTGTTTGTCTTATGTAATTAGATATTCTTTTACTGCATCCAAGATTATGACAAAGGAAAATGGATGAATTTTTAAATTTATTATCATGTTTTATATTCAGATATTTGATGTATCTGAAATTTATTTTGAATAATGGGTTAGGGATCTAATTTACAGTTTTCTTTCTTTCTTTTTTTTCTGTAGAGATAGAGTTTCACTTTGTCGCCCTCGGTAGAGTGCCATGGCATCACACAGCTCACAACAACCTCTAACTCCTGGGCTTAGGTGATTCTCTTGCCTCAGCCTCCCAAGTAGCTGGGACTATAGGTGCCCACCACAACAGCCTGGCTATTTTTTTGTTGCAGTTTGTCTGGGGCTGGGTTTGAACCCACGATCCTTGGTATATGGGGCTGGCGCCCTACCCACTGAGCTATAGGCACTACCCTAATTTACAGTTTTCTAAAATGGTAGCCAATTGTTTCACTATTATTTATGAAATCTCCATTTTTTCGTACAAAAGTTTATATTCTAACCCACATTTCTAGTTCATATTCCATTTCTCTAAAGTTATGTAGTTGGGATTAGTTGAGAATTTTGTTAGCCTTTTGAGGTCATTGGAGCAACAGAAGGTGACAGGTAGATTATACTATCTTATCTTCCCTTTTATTATTAAGATTGATAAATGATTGACCCAGGGAATACTTTTAAGCCCAACCATCCTATGGATATAAAGGTGATGTTTCTACATTACTTAAATCTCCTTGTGGAGAGCAAGGGGAAGCTGGGGTGAGGATATTGTAAGACTCGGTCTGTGGGAGTTTTTTAGAAAATAATCAGGATTTAAAAATGAGTTTGAATATATCTAGGCAGTAAAAATCTGCTAGTCAGTTCCTACGCAGTAAGCTAATTCTGTACCTGCCACAAGTAGACAAAGAAAATCTTTGTTAAAAGAACTGAAACTTGAAAATTGGTTATTAGTCACTGCTTAGCACTCTTTAGTCATTGGGAATGTAATCACTATAAGTCTGCTGGCCTTAGTTTCCCCTCCGCCCACTTTTCCTTTTAATGCTACATGACTAGGGATCAGAAGACATGAATTTCGTCAGATGCAGCGACTTACTGGTCATGTGACAGTGTGCAAAGTATTTAATTTCTTTGTTTGTTAGTTTCTTTATTTTAGAAATAGAAAGGATAACCACTATCTTGCTTTTCTTAGCATATTTTTTATAAAGACTAAATGAGTTGACATGATACATACTTCATGTACTGTATGTTAAAGTTTGTAGCCAGTTTAATGAGGATGGGGATGTAGAAATGTGGAGGCTATAGTGATCCCAGACAGAGAGGAGTTGCACAAATGGGTTGTTATTGAGAAACAAAGATAGGAAGTACAAACCACTGTTGGGGGACATTTTATATTAGAAGGAACAGTACAGCATGAGGGTTAGGGAGATTGTTGAAAAGGGCTCCTGTTTGTTTTAAAGTATTTTTTCCCAAATTTTAGCTATTTATAATTTTGCCATTACAGAATATCTGTTATCTAATTTAAAAAAACGTAAAAAAACCATTATTCTCATCCTCAGCAATAAATTCTGTTAAATCATACATTTGATACTCAGTTACTTATTTTTTCTGAAAAATTAAATATGTAACAATTGACAAATGTTAGTAGAATCACAGAGTTTGTTTTGTGTGCTGCTGTTGACATCCATACATGTAATCATGATTTCAGGAATGTGATTTTTAAAGAATAGATTGGCTCTGAATGTAAAGGTGAGTAATATAAATAACTTAGTGGGTTGAACTTTGTGAACAGTTTAAAGGATGTATGAAAGATTAAGGCAGTAGTTTGAAGAGTTAGTCTTGAAAAAGAAATGGGATATCCTTTTTTCTAACATGGCAGTGTTGGAGAAGATGAAAGATAGAGAAAATTATAAAAAATAGTAGAAGACATCTAAGCACTGGGTACCAAAATTCAACAGCCCAAGGTAGTCCTGGGTAACTGTATCCATCAACTTAAAAGTCATGTTTTCTTTTTCTTCCCTTAGGTCGAATTGACATTAAACAATTGATAGCAAAGAAGATACAGTTGACAGCAGAGGCAGAGGCAAGTAACTCCCTTTTCCAGGAACAAAAATGTAGAGTTTTAGATAAAGAATTTTGTTTAGTACCATTTTAAATAGCTCATCAGTTGGCATTATCCTGTTGTGGAACAGGAAAGTAAGATCTGCCATCTTGTCATCCTAGATAAGAACCTAAGTTGCCTTTTCCTTTCCTATTCTATCCCTCATTGTCATTTTCTGGCTCTTACCAGTAAATCTTGGCTTTAGTGGCCCACATGAATAATTGATGCAGTTAAATATCCATGATGTGAGTGCTTTATGAAAGTATTATGGTTCACGGTAAGTAATAGGCCTCCAATAAACAATGAGTGTGAATCTGTAAGTAGATTCTCTGTCAGAGAAGCAGAACTAACAACTCAACTTATTTTTTGTATAAATCAAAATTCAGCAGCACTGTCAGGAAATGTGAGGATAAACACTATTTTTTTTTTTTTTTAAGGAAGTGGGGTATCATTTTGCCTAGATTGGTCTTGAACTCCTAGGCTCAAGAGCCTCCTGTCTCAACTCCTGAATAACCAGGGACTACAGGCCACTATGCCCAGCTCAAAGAACACCTTTGAACAACTACCTTACTGAGTTGTAAACTTACTTCAAATCCAAGGCAGATTCCCATTATCCACTGAGAAGATCACTTCCAAAATTTATTGCACAACTTGAATAATTAAACATCCAGGGGTATGGATAAAATAGCCCTGCTTTTAATTTAGGAATGTAATCACTATAAGTCTGCTGGCCTTGGTTTCCCCTCCACCCACTTTTTCTTTTAATGCTGCCTGACTAGGAATCAGAAGACATGGATTTCATCAGATGTAGTGACTTACTGGTTATGTGTATACATGTCTATACATATGCATTTATAGAATAATTTAAATTTAGGAATTTCTATAATAATTTCATAAAATATGTGCCAGATTATTTACATTCAATAAATGAATGAGTTATGAGTGAGTGAGTGAGTTATGATTATGGAGCTAGTTTTTTAGTTATCACTCAAGGCCAGCAGCTTACAATTTTTACTTTCATCTAATTTGTTAAAATATAGTACTGTTTGAGTCCAAGGATGATGCTGTCACTAAAAAAATTTTTTATAGGAGCTTATTTGCTTAACATTAAGAGATGCCCCCCCACCATTATCCTCTAGGTATATTTGGGATGTCTACAATGTAATCTCTTACTGCTTTATAAAGTGGTGGTATTCAAAAGGTATATTTGTTATACTTGAAACTCTGAGTCTGTGTAGACTCCTAGTTTATAGGGTATTACATTTTATTTATCTTTCTTTCCTGATTTCATTAGGTTACCTGCATAAGCCTCCAAAACTACAATAGTGAAGATCATTTCTGGTGAATGTCTTTTCCAATTAGTACTTTGTTTAGACTATTGAAAGACTTGATCCTTAAGCAACTTCTACGTATCTGAGGGCTAATGTATAATTTTGGCTAGAAAATAAAACTATTTAATATTTAAGGGCTCATTCTTGCAAATTTAGTGATTAAAATCGTTTCTGTTTTTATGATTTATTGGAGTATTTCTGACCTGTCTTATTCCTGTAGATAGGCAGGACACCTAGGTTTGTCTTTCATTCCTATTTCAGTTTTCCTCTGTCCTCTTTTGTTCCGTCTTTCTCTTTCCTAGCAAGAACACAGAGCCTTATTATGCTTAATTTGTGAGGGAAAGTTTCCCCAAAGCGAAGTTCAGTCTGTCTCTGCTGTCATTGCCCTGTCTTTTAAAATCTAAAGTGGAAGGGGGAACCTTTTTTCTTACAGAAGCACAAACTCAAGGAGGAAAGGGAGTATGGAGTGGGAAGTAGAGGAGTGGGGGAGAAGTAGAGAAATGGCAGGAAGGGAGGGATGGGGAATATTTTGAGGATCTAGGTTAGAACTTTTAAAAAAAATTTCTTCCTGGCTCAGCGCCTGTAGCTCAAGTGGCTAAGGCGCCAACCACATACACCTAAGGTGGTGGGTTTGAATCCAGCCCGGGCCTGCCAAACAACAATGATGGCTGTATCCAAAAAATAGCCAGGCATTGTGGTGGGTGCCTGTGGTCCCAGCTACTTGGGAGGTGGAGGCAGGAGACTCGCTTGAGCCCAGGAGTTGGAGGTTGCTGT